GGTGCTTCCCATTGGGAGACAGGAAAGCAGCCACATCCTGGGAAACATCCCTTAGACATCCCCTTGGAACATCCCCACTCTTGAAAACAGCTCTGGAAGGACTGAGAAGGAAAAGAGGAAGAAAAAAACCAACTAAACGAAGAAAAAAATGGTTTAAAACTCAATTAAGGTGCAGTTTGGCTAAAAAAAAACCCCAAAAAAAAAACCTGGGAGAGATGAGGATAATGCTGGGAAAAGCGACCCCCATCCGGATTCAAGATTAGCACCCTGAAAAAACTCCCCCCCGGGCCCAGGTGGTCACTAAAGCCGGGTCAGTGGCCACCAAAGCCGGGCCACGTCGGCACAGGGGCCTGGGGACCCCCCACCCCATTCCAGGCGTCCTGCAGGCTCCGCTCTGCTCCCGGGAAGTGCCCGGAGCAGGGATCTAGCAGCTAAAACTGGGCTCTTTAAGGCAATTTAGAAGTTGCAGAAATTCCACACAAAGAAAGAAAAGAGAAGAGAAGGAGAACGGAGCATCTCCGGATCCGCAGGGAGACCAGGGTGGGAAAAAACACCAAAGGAAAGCAAAACAAACCCATTGCTGCGGGAATGAAGTGCCCTGGGAACAGCAGGAAAGGGAAAACCTCTCCCAAAGCCAGGGCTGGGAATCACAGGCTTCAGCACATGGAAGCAAGAAGCAAATGCCAGGTTTGTCTGGTCAGGTCAGACTGAGATGTGATGGTGGGAAAGGGGGAGGAAAAGAAATCCTGGCCTTGAAACCACAGAGAAATGTAAAAACAGGAAAAATGGCTTCGGGGAGGGGGGGGGAAGGAACAATAAAAAAAAAGGTAAACCAAAATAAAAATGATTTTTAAAAATAATCTCTCGAATGTTGCCTTGTGTGGTCTGGTCCTTCTGGGAATGGTCCATCAGTATCTAGGAGAGAAGGGGCACAGTGAGGGCTGGAACACAGATCCTGGGAGCAGAGGCTGTGCCAGCGCCAGGGGATCCCAAATCATGGAATTCCAGACTGGTTTGGGTGGGGAGGGACCTTAAAGCACATCCCATCCCGCCCCTGCCATGGGTAGGGACACCTTCCACTATCCCAGGTTGCTCCAGCGTGGCCTTGGACACTTCCAGGCTTGGGGCAGCCACAGCTTCTCTGGGAATTCCATCCCAGCCCCGCACCACCCTCACAGGGAAGAATTCCTCCCCAGTATTCAGTGGGAAGCCATTCCCTGTGTCCTGTCCCTCCATCCCTTGTCCCCAGTCCCTCTCCAGCTCTCCTGGAGCCCCTTTAGGCCCTGCAAGGGGCTCTCAGGTCTCCCTGGAGCCTTCCCTTCTCCAGGCTGAGCATTCCCAGCTCTCCCAGCCTCCAAATCAAAGGCTCTCCAGCCCTCGGAGCATCTCCGTGGGCTCTCTGGATTCACTCCAGCAGCTCCACATCCTTCTGCTGCTGGAGGCACTTTCCAAAGCCCTGTCCCCGTGGATCTGGAGGTGCTCCCAGCCCTCACCTGTAGTAGTTGGGTTTGAAGGGCCCGTTCTTGTTGAGCCCCAGGTACTTGGCCTGGTCGTCCGTGAGCTCCGTCAGGTGGGCGTCGAACGAGGGCAGGTGCAGGCTGGCCACGTACTCATCTGGGAATGGGGCAGGGAAAACGGGATCAGGGGGACCCACCCCCCCCTCACACCCCAGGGAGCTGAGGGGGGGGTCACCATCGCCACCATCACCATCACCCCCCCGGAGTCACCACAACCCAACGGCTGGAGCAGAGCTGAGCCCAAGCCTGGGCTGGATGTGCCCCCAAAGGCACCAGGATGGCATGGAAAACCCTGGAGAAACCCTGGGGAAGGGAGCATAAGGAGAGGGGATGCCTCCCACGCTGCGGGACACCAAGGGAAATAAATCAAACCACCCCCACTCGTTTCGAAGTTGCTGCCTCTGCTGGTTTCCCTGAACTCCTTCTCCCTCTGGAAGTGTTTCCCAGCCCTGGGGTGAGTTTTTTCCTGACATCTCACACAGCTGGCGCACAGAATTCCTAAGGAATTCTTCACTCACCCATCTTCTTGGGCAGCAGGTAAACGTCCTGCTTGTAGCGGCCCTCGGGAGCATTGTAGAGCTCAATCAGAGCCAGAGCCTGTGGAGAGCACAGGGATAAAATTTGGGAATGCTCAGGGACAGCCCAGGAACACCCAGGGATGGCCACCAGCCACGGCAGCACAGGGACAGTGACAAGGACTTGGGAGCCACAGGGAGGGCACAACCATTTCCAAGGTGCCCTGAGGGAAAGGCTCCCAGCTCAGGGCATGTCCAGAGTCCCTCTGGGAAGGGGGTCAGGGTCAGGGATGAGGGGATGACAAGCTGTTTGTAGCAGCTGGGAAAAACCCCATGGAAAAACATGAGGATGGAGGACAATGGAGCAGCTCTGCCTCTCTTAAACCTCTGAGAGCTGCTGTGCCACGAGGGAAGGGGGGGATTGCCAGTCCCTGCATGTTCCCAGCCCCACCAGTGTCCAAGTTCCCAACCCCATCAATCTCCCCCTTGTTCCCAGTCCTACCAATCCCCTCCCTGTTCCCAACCCCACCAGTCTCCCCATGATCCCCGTCCTACCAGTGTCCTCCAGTCCCACCAGTCCCCTCCATGTTCCCAGTCCCACCAGCCTTGCTTTGAGGTAAGCCCTAAACCTGTCCTAGGGGGTTTAAACCTCAGCTGGGGGAGTTTAAACCTCTGCTGGGGAGCTTAAATCTGTGCTGTGGGGATTGGAATCTGTGCTGGGGGGCTTAACCTGTGCTTTGGGGGCTTGAAACCTGAGTTCAGGGGGCTGAAACCCGTGCTGGGGGGCCTAAACTTGTGCTTGAGGGGCTCAAGCCCATCTCCCAGCCCAGCAGGAGATCTGTGTCATTCGAAATCTGCACCATTTCAAAGCTCTCCCAAAACTTCCTGCACCCAAAACACCAAGTTCCCACCACCATTAATCCACCCCAGGGAAGAGGGGGTTCCTGTGGTATTCCAAGGCCCCACCCCAGGGTGTTCCCAAAGCATCTTCACCCCCGAGGCCCCTCCTGGGTACAGACCTGAGTGGTGGCTGTGATGGAGAGGACAAAGGTGGGAACTGTGGAGCAGCTCAGGTTGAGCAGCCGGCCCTGGGGGAGAGCAGGAGTCACCCCAAATCCAAACCCAGTCGACATTCCAGGTGGGATTCACCTCCATCCCCTCCCGAGAGCCACTTTTGTGCCCAGAGCATCCCAACTGTGTCCCAGCTCCCACCCCAACCCTGAGCTTCAAGGCTGGGGAGTGTTGTGGTCCCTGGAAAAGCCAGTCCCTCCCTCCTGCCAGAGCAGCTCCAGTGGGAAGAAGAGGAGCCAGATTCCTGCCTGGGAATCCCTGGCACAGCTGGAGCAGGTGGGTTTGGCTACAGGAGGGGTCTGACAGACCCAGCTGTGGGTGCGTGTGGGACAGGACACACACCCCTGCCTCAAGAAAAGGACAGAAAAAATAATAAATAAAAAATAATAAATACAATAATAAACCCTTTTCTGAGCCCTGAAGCTCTTCCCAGTGCTTTTCCACCTGGATAAACCCATGATTTCCCACCAGGAACTGTGGCCCAGCTCCCCACATACCTCAGCCAGCAGCACCACCCGCTTCCCATCGGGCCAGATGACGTGATCCACCTGGGAACGCACCCGCTCCCACGTCAGCTCGGGGGTCCTCAGGCTGGTCTGCAAGAGGAGGAGGGAGAGCTGGAGCCACGGGAGGAGGAGCAGGGTGGGCCAGCCCATGGGGCTGAACTCACCACGTCGATCTCGGTGTTGGAGTGGCCCATGTTGCAGACGATGCAGCTGTTCTTCATCCGGTCCAGGTGCTCCCGCGTCACCACGTTCTTGTTCCCTGCAGGAACAGCAAAACCAAACCCCCTGCGTTCTCATTCCCTGAACTCCAGCTGGAGAAGCTCAGCTTGGGGCAACATCTGATGAACTTCCCACCAGGACGAGGCTCCTCCTGGTCGGGACAGCGGAGAAACATGTGGGACAAGTGCTGTCATGGGATGTCCTGAGCTGGAAGGGACCCGCAAGGATCAGCAACCTCTGGCCCTGCCCAGGACACCCCAAAATCCCACCCTGTCCCTGAGAGCATTGTCCAAACCCTCCTGGA